TTGTTTGTTTTGTTTTAATTTGTATGAGCCCCTTAAAAAAGCTGTTTTCTTTTAGCAGTTTTCTAATTTGTATTTTATAGGCATTTTGACATATAAACTTTGTGTATTCCAACTGACTTTTCGTAGATTGTTTTCTCATCTTTAAATTAGAAATTCTCAGTCTAGCCTACTGATGTAATCAATAGCAAACTAAACTGCAGTGCTGGAAGCCACTCACAGGTTTGGATACCTGAGTTGCCTTGAAAACATGCTATGTGTGTATGTGTGCACATGTGTGAGCACATGCCCAGGATCCTGAGGGGATGGAGAACTGGGGAAAGAGCAGGGCAGTTTGACCACACCCTATCAAGGGCACATCCTTCCCCCTACTTCTCTTTACCTTCTGTCTCCTGTTAGTTTTCATAGTCTCTATGTTAGATCAAATAAACTTTAAAAAATTATTATTTTATTTATTATTTTTTAGGTTTTTTTTTTTGAGAGTTTTTTTTTTTGCTATAGGGTGTGTGCGCTTGCCAGACAGACAGAGAGAGACAGAGAGTCAGAAAGTGAGAAATCACCCCCCAGGGGGGATAGCCACACTACAATCCCTTCTCCTCCATTCTCCTCTTGGGATCTTGGGCACGCACACACATTGCCCGGCATGAGTTTTAAGCCACCGAGTCCGGGACTCGAACCGTGGTCAACGACATGAGAGTCCAGCGACATAGCCATTATGCTAACTGCTGATCCCATATTATTTTTCAGTTTGACCATAGAGAGAAAGAAAGTGAGAAAGTAAGCTGTCACGCCTGGGACTCAAACTGTGGTTGACGATGTGGGAGTCCAGCGCCTTAACAACCATGCAAACTGCAGGCCCTAAACTTGTTTTTTAGATAAAAACAAACAAAACTTGTTTTGGGGCTAGCAGCTGGCATAGTGGTTAAGGCACTGGACTCTCAAATGGCTGACACAGTTTGAGTCCCAGGCCCCATAGCTTGAAAATCATGCCAGGTGTGTGCACGCATGTCCAAAATCCTGAGAGGCAGATGGAGGAAAAGGGATGGCAATCCTTCCTGGGTGAGGGGTGGTTTTTCACTTTCCCTCTGTCTGTCTTTGTCTTCAGCAAGTGCATGTGATCTATAGCAAAAACCTAAAATAAATACATTAAAAATAATTTGATTTAATTGCTAGAGACTGCGTTTGTTTTCCAGAGAGAGTCAGAGAAAGAGAGAGACAGAAAGCACTTGCCAGTGGAGCATGGTCGTGCCACAATCTCTTCTCCATTCCTCTGTCCTGTTGAGATTTTGGGCACAAATCCATGCACATGGCCTTGTGTGTTTTTCAAGCCGCCAGAGCTGGGATTCAAATTGCAGTCAGCTGTGTGGGATCTGGCTTCCTTCACCATTAGGCTGCTGTGTCAGTCCCCAAATAAAATAACTTTTTAAAAAATTTAGAAATTCTCTGCTTTCAGAGATCCAGTAACTTTTTGTTGTTGTTACTGTTTTATTGATTGTAACTGACCTATTCTAGAGTTTACTTCAAAGCATGATGTAAGGGAGAAGTATATTTATTCTTTAAATGCTCCATGCAAGTATATTTATTCTTTACATGCTCCATGCTTCGAATATTTACATAAGCAAGCTCTGTTATTCTTAATATGTTTTGCAACCATTGTATTTTAAGACAAAAAGCATCTTAATTAGGCTTCTTTTTAGTTATTTCTATAGGCTAATGGTTCATTGTGAAATTTAATGATAATAAAAGGTAACAGGCTTTTTTTTTTTTTTTTCGGAGAGGTTTTTGCTATAGGGTGCGTGCTCTCGCCAGACAGACAAAGACAGAGAGACAGAAAGTGAGAAATCACCCCTCAGGCGGGAATGGCCACGCCGCAATCCCTTCTCCTACATTCTCCTCTCGGGATCTTGGGCACTCACGCACACGTACCCCGCATGAGTTTTAAGCCACCGGGTCCGGGATGAGAACCACAGTCGGCTACGTGGGAATCCAGCGACATAGCCATTACACTAACTGCTGATCCCCAAAACTTTTGTGATAATTGTATTTTAGTAGCAAAAAACCCCCTCTCTTCTTACAGATTTAATCTCTGTCACCAAAGTTTAGACAATATTTGTGATTAGCTTTTTACTAATGCAGTAAAAGCATTCGTATTTTCAGGAAATAGCGTTTATTCATGAAGAAAATTATTACAGCAATCTGTCTGAACAGTGAGAAAATTCTAGACTCTTCAGACAGCTCAGGGTTTTGAAAAAGCTTTGTACCTTGGCAGGGGCCCAGGAAAGGAAGTGCCTGCTTCTACTACATTCTAGAAGCCTTCCCAAAAGGCTGTAAGACAGCCAAGAGAGCAATATTTCACTACTGTGTGGTTCTGGAAGTATCTGGAACTTTCCAACAAACTTGAGGGAGGAGATTTAGGAGTACTTCCAGAATGTCAGTTTTGTAGTGGTCTGTTGTTACTGAGATTCAAGTTAAGGGGAAAGCCAATTTTTCAGTTTCTTTTTTCTTTTTTTAGAGAGAGATTTTTGCTATAGGGCACATGTGTTTATCAGATAGACAGAGAGAAAGCAAGAAATCACCTCCCAGGGGGGATGACCATGCCACAGTCCCCTCTCTGGCATTCTGTCAGGATTTTGGGCATGCACGCACACATGCCTAGAGTGAGTTTTAAGCCTCCAGGTCAGGGGCTTGAACCACAGTCAACTACGTGGGAGTCCAGCTACACTATGCTATCTACTGGTTCCAGAATAGGGAGCTTTAAGCGTGGATTTGAGCATGTTGGTTTAGGTCAAGTCACATGGTCAGAGTAAGTAATGGGAGCCTGTTACTGGGATAAATGGTACTGAAATGGTAGCTTATTCTCCTGTAAGGTTATTAGAAAGATTTAGAAATCTAAGTCTGGGTGGAGAAGAAGAGAAGAATGCTATAGCTGGGCATCTGGGAAAGCAAGACAAAGCCTTCCCGTGGGTTAGTTAGTATCCTCATCTACCTCAAAGAATCCTTACTAGAAAAGACAATGGTATCAGAGACATGGAGAAAAAAGACAGAAAGGATTTGCTTCCAGGTTAAAGAAAATAAAGGCACAGCTATGTACTAGGGTAAGTAAGAATGTTTTATATAGAACACAGTACAAAAAAGAAAATACTCAAGGCTTGAGGACTTCGAGAGGAATCTAATTTATTTAATTTTTAATTATTTTTTTAATTTGCTAGAGGGCACATGTGCTCATGAGAGAGAGAGAGAGACAGACAGACAAAGACAGTGAGTGCATGAGTGAGCAAGCAAGTTGCCAGGTCTGAGACTCAAACCGGTGTCTCCCATGTGGGAGTCCAGCACCTTAACCACTACGCCATCTGCTGGCCCTGAAAAATCTAGTTTAAATGGAGGGAGATTTTATTTTTAGATTCTCTGCATTACATTAAAACAAAAGTAACAGCATTTTTGAGATACAAATAATTCAACATATAATTCATCCATTTAATATTTATGACCCAATGGTTTTTAATGCTTTCAGAGTTTTTCAGTCATCAGTAACTACAATTGATTTTACAACATTTTCATTATCCCCAAATAAATAGGTTTTAAAATACATTAAAAACAATTATCCATGAGAGAGGGCTCCAGAGAGAGGGGGAGAGGAGGCATCCCCAACAGGATCTTCACACTATGATGCTGCCCCCAGCCTCAGCCAATCAGGATCATGAGTGTGCACTTGGCACTGGGGAGACCTTGGGACATGAACCCAGGACCTTCCCATATGGCCTTTGTATCACAGAATGTTGCATTATTGCTATACCACTACAGTTTGCTCAAGTATACATCTTTTAATCAAATTTATTTGAAAACCTATAGCCATTTAGAGAAAAAACTGAGCAAGAATTTTAAGAATTAAATCAGATAGGGCCAGCAGGTGGAATAATGGTTACGATGCTGGACTCTCACATGGTCAACTACACTTCAAATCCTGGACCTGATGGCTTGCTTTTTCACTTTCTCTCTCTCTCTGGTGAGTGCATGTATCCTATAGCAAATTAAAGAGTAATAAAAAAAGAATCAGAAAGCTCTGAAATCAGTGCCGTCCCTGTGACGTTTAGTGGTTAAGGAAGCCAGATCCTACATAGCCAGCTGTGGTTCAGATCATAGCCACAGCAACTTGAAAGACATTTCAGGTGAGAGGGTGTTTGTGGTCCAAGTTCTGACAAGGATGAGAAAAGGAGGAGAAACAATTGTGGCATGACCATGCCCTACTGAGGACCCCCAGTGATCTGGCAATGAAAAAGAAAGCTGTGAGGTTTTTTTTTTCTTCTTCTTCTTTTAAAGCATACTCTCGTATCTTTAAAATGTATTGGTAATAATTAATGTATTTTAATATTTTAAAGGCATGTATACTCTTTTTAGAGAGAGATTTTTACTAATGACGTGTGAGCTCGCTGGAAAGACAGAGACAGACAGAAAGCGAGAAATCACCCCCCGGAGGGGGGATGACCATAATCCCTTCTCCTCCATTCTCTTCTTAGGATTTTGGGCACACACACACATGTGCCCAGTGTGAGTTTTTTAAGTCTCTTGGTCTGGGGTTCAAACCACGGTCAACTACAATAACCATTACCCTATCTCCTGGTCCCATAAGGTGGTACTTTTTTTAATGGGAAATTAGTGATTGAGATCTAGGTCATAGAGAAAACTTATTTTTCAGGTTATATGAAAGAGCCACTACTATACTATTCAGTTTCTCTGATTGTAATGGTGAACTAAGTAGAAAAACTCAGGTTGAATTTTTAAGCATAAATTATCAGGTAAAAACAAGGTTTATAGTACTATAATTAAACAAGAAATAGTAGTAATTATTATATTATTAAATCAGTTTACAATAACTAACATCAATTCTGTGGGGAACCTTGGAGTCTGATTTTAATTTTGTTTGTAGGAAGAATAGGTGAGGAACTTTTCTTGTCTCTCTGTCACTCTTTTTTTCCTTGTTGGTAATAGTTGTATTTTTCTTGTAGGTGTGTGGACCTGTAAAAGTAAGTCTTCCAAGATGATCTGGTGTATTTTAATTGTAGGGATTCTACTTCCCCAGAATTTGGCCCATCCCGGCTTTTTTACATCAATTGGTAAGTGTGGTCATTTTTTTTTTTGTGTGTGTGTTTTTTTTTGTGACGTTTTGCATCTAAAAATTTCCATGTTTTTAGGGGCCTTCCCTATAGTGTATTGGTTAAGGGAGTCACATCCCACATAGCTGACTGTGGTTTGAGTTCAAGTCCTGATAGCTTGAACACAATGGGTACATGCCCAGGGTTCTGATGGCAGGAAGGGAGGGAGGAATGGAGGAAAAGGGACTGTAGTGTGATTGTACCCCATTAAGGAGGTGGTTTCTCTTTCTTTATCACTCTTGGTAATTTCAGAAAAGTTCCATTTTTTAGTGCTTGTTTTAAAAAGATAGTTATTGATTTAATTTTATTTATTATTATTGTTGTTGTTGTTTAATTTACCATAGGGCATATGAGCTCACCAGAGAGAGGGAGAAAGGAAAAGTGAGAATGCAAGTTCCACATCTGGGACTTGAACCACAGTTAGCCATGTGGGAACCCAGTGCCTCAACTACTATACCACCTCTAGCCGCATTTTTCAGTGTTTTAAATCAGTACAGAACAAAGTATACGAGGGCCCTTCAAGAAGTTTATGTCAAATGCATATTACAGAAAAAGATATAAATGGATTTGAAGAAGTTTTTGTACCAGAATAAACTCATACTTTAATTCTATTTTTTTGTGAATGTTTGAAATCCCCTCTTTTTTCCAAAGACTAAAGCATTGGTTTCCTCCTTGCCTCTCTGAAAGATCTTCTGTTTTTTAAAAGACAATTTTAGGGGCCAGCAGGTTAAGGCACTAGAATTTCACCTAGTCGACTGTGGTTTGAGTCCCAGACCTGGTAGCTTGAAACTCATGCTGGGTGTGAGTACATGTGTGTGCCTAAAATCCTGAGAGGAGAATAAAGGAGAAGGCATTGTGGTGTGGCCATCTACCTGCAGGAGGTGATTCTCACTTTCTCCCTCTCCATCTCTGTCTCTCTGGTGAGTGCACATACCCTATAGCAAAAATGTCTCTCTCCTGAAAAAGACAGTTTTGTTTTTTATTTTAAGAATTACTTAATTTTATTTATTACTATCATTGTTTTAAAATTTGTTACAGGGCATACATGCTTACCAGAGAAAGACAGAGTAAGCGAAAAAGTGAAAAAGCAAGTCACCAGGTCTGGATCTTGAACTGCAGTCAGCCAAGTAGGAGTCCAGCACCTTAACCACCATGAAACCTGCTGGTCCCAACAATTTTATTTTTCATAAAGATATTTTCCACATTACAAAAACAATACATATTCAGGTTAGAAACTTATGAAAATGTAGAAGAGCACATCAAAGAAAATGACCTGTTAATGAATCTATCCAGCAAATAAGTTAATGCATATAGTCTTTTCAATGTATAGATACATGAATAACATACTACATATTCTTTCTTTCTTTTTTTTATGAGAGATTTTTGCTATAGGGTGCGTGCGCTTGCCAGAGAGACAGAGAAAGAGAGGCAGGAGATGAGCAGATGGTGTAATGGTTACGTCATTGGACTCATGTAGTCGACTGCAGTTGGAGTCCTGCTTACTGTGGTTTAAACCTCACACCAGGCACGTGTGTGTGTGTGCCTGGGATCCCAAGAGGAGAATGGAGGAGTAGGGATTGCAATGTGGTCATCCCCTCTGGGGGGTGATTTCTCACTTTTTGTCTCTCTCTGTCTCTTTGGCAAGTACATGCACCCTATAGCAAAAAGTCTGTCTCCAAAAAAAAAAAAAAAAAAGGAGAAAGAGAGAAAGCAAAAAATCAGTCCCCCACACACACCCAGGGTATAGCCACTCCACAATCCCTTCTCCTCCATTCTCCTCTCGGGATTTTGGGCATGCACTCACATGTGCCTGGCATGGGAGTTTAAGCCGCCAGGTCCAGGACTCTAACTGTGGTTTACTATGTGAGAGTCCAGTGACATAACCATTGTGCCATCTGCTGGTCTCATACTACATATTCTTTTCTAACCTACTTTTTCCATTTAAGAACCTACTATGGACATGAGTTATTTTTTTCTACATCGTAATTTTTTTTTTTTTTTTTTGGAGAGGTTTTTTTGCTATAGGGCACGTACGCTCGCCAGACAGACAGACAGAGACATAGAGACAGAAAGCGAGAAATCACCCCCAGGGAGGATGGTCACGCCGCAGTCCCTTCTCCTCCATTCTCCTCTCAGGATCCTGGGCACGCACGCACATGCGCCCAGCCTGAGTTTTAAGCCACCGGGTCCGGGACACAAACTGCCGTCGACTATGTGGGAGTCCAGTGACATAGCCATTATGCTAACTGCTGGTTCCCCTACATCATAATTTTTAAATAACTTTTAAAAAATATTTTGCCATTGGGCATAAGTGCTCGCTAGAGAGAATCAGAGAGAGAAAGAGATCAGGAAAGTGAGAAAGAACCCTTAATGGGGAATGGTCATGCTACAATTCTTTCTCCTCCCAAATCCCACCTTTTGGGATTTTGGAAACACATATGCAAGAGTCAGCATTTTTTTCAAGCTGCTGATCTGGGAGTTGAACTGCACACTCGGCCACGTGATACCTCTTTAACTATGGGCTGGCCCTTGAAAATCTTCAAAAGTTTTTTACAAACAGCATATTGGTTGCAGAGGTAAAAATATAGAAGTACATAGACTGTAAGAACTTCTTATGTCCCCTTTCTCCCAGAAAAGTCCTTTTATTTTTTTGTTTTTTTTTGAGAGGTTTTTGCTACAGGGCGCATCCGCTCACCAGAAAGACAGAGAGAGACATAAAGCAAGAAATCACCCCCCAGGGGGGATGGCCACACCACAGTCGCTTCTCCTCCATTCTCCTCTCGGGATCTTGGGTGCACACACACATGTGCCCGGTGTGAGTTTAAGCCACTGGGTCCAGGACTCAAACCATGGTCAACTACATGGGAGTCCAGTGACATAGCCATTACGCCAACTGCTGGTCCCCTCATTGTTTTTGATACGTATGCTTTTATACTTTCCATATGTATACATTATCAGTCTTAAATGAGATGTTTTCTTTTTTCTTTTAACTAGTTTCACCTATATAGAATGTAGAGGTAGCTAAAACATAAATATTACACACTTATAACACTTAACTTTAGGATATAAAATGATGAGTCATGTTATTATAAGTTACTAAGTATAGATTATTTAAAACTTTGTGTGGTTTTATTTATTGAATAAAAATTTAATTAGTATTAGTCTTGAAAACAGGAAAAAAGATGAGGGGAGGGAAGTGGTGAAGAAGAAACATTGATCCTTGGAAAGTAATGTTATTTTCTAATTTTAAAATAAGTTTATAGGAGCCATTTAGTTGCACAGCAATGACACAAGTGAACCCACATGGGTGGGTTCTGGGTTTGCATCCCAGGGCCTCCCTATATAAATAAGGTGCAGGATCAGGTGCTGTGATCCAGGCTGGCCGAGTGTGGGGGTGGATTATAGCATGAGGACCTGTTTAGGGTACCCGTCTGTTCCTGTTTCTGCTTCTCTCTGTCTATCATGGAGGAAATAAACAAAAAAATTATAGATGAAACGTTTTTTTTTTTTTTTAATTTGCCAGAATGTGTGTGAGTGTGCTCACCAGAGAGAGACAGATAGAGAGGAAGAGGAAGAAAACACCCTCCAATGAGGCATGGTCTCCCCCATTTCTTCTCTTATTGGGATTTGAGGTATGCACGCACATACGCCCCATATGACATTCAGGCTGTAGGGGCCAAGATTTAAACCATGTGGTTGACCATGTGGGATCCAGCTTTCCTAACCACCAGGACAAGGGGCTAGACCAACAAAAAAGATAATTCATGAACACAGTCTAAGCTTGCAGAATTAACTAGCTTGAAAATTAGAATTAGAACATATGATTAGAAATGTTCTTGGGTTTATTTTGGTTTATCCAATAAAAAAAGGCTCCCAAATCCCACCTTTTGGGATTTTGGAAACACATATGCAAGAGTCAGCATTTTTTTCAAGCTGCTGATCTGGGAGTTGAACTGCACACTCGGCCACGTGATACCTCTTTAACAACCATGCTATGGGCTGGCCCTTGAAAATCTTCAAAAGTTTTTTACAAACAGCATATTGGTTGCAGAGGTAAAAATATAGAAGTACATAGACTGTAAGAACTTCTTATGTCCCCTTTCTCCCAGAAAAGTCCTTTTATTTTTTTGTTTTTTTTTGAGAGGTTTTTGCTACAGGGCGCATCCGCTCACCAGAAAGACAGAGAGAGACATAAAGCAAGAAATCACCCCCCAGGGGGGATGGCCACACCACAGTCGCTTCTCCTCCATTCTCCTCTCGGGATCTTGGGTGCCCACACACATGTGCCCGGTGTGAGTTTAAGCCACTGGGTCCAGGACTCAAACCATGGTCAACTACATGGGAGTCCAGTGACATAGCCATTACGCCAACTGCTGGTCCCCTCATTGTTTTTGATACGTATGCTTTTATACTTTCCATATGTATACATTATCAGTCTTAAATGAGATGTTTTCTTTTTTCTTTTAACTAGTTTCACCTATATAGAATGTAGAGGTAGCTAAAACATAAATATTACACACTTATAACACTTAACTTTAGGATATAAAATGATGAGTCATGTTATTATAAGTTACTAAGTATAGATTATTTAAAACTTTGTGTGGTTTTATTTATTGAATAAAAATTTAATTAGTATTAGTCTTGAAAACAGGAAAAAAGATGAGGGGAGGGAAGTGGTGAAGAAGAAACATTGATCCTTGGAAAGTAATGTTATTTTCTAATTTTAAAATAAGTTTATAGGAGCCATTTAGTTGCACAGCAATGACACAAGTGAACCCACATGGGTGGGTTCTGGGTTTGCATCCCAGGGCCTCCCTATATAAATAAGGTGCAGGATCAGGTGCTGTGATCCAGGCTGGCCGAGTGTGGGGGTGGATTATAGCATGAGGACCTGTTTAGGGTACCCGTCTGTTCCTGTTTCTGCTTCTCTCTGTCTATCATGGAGGAAATAAACAAAAAAATTATAGATGAAACGTTTTTTTTTTTTTTTAATTTGCCAGAATGTGTGTGAGTGTGCTCACCAGAGAGAGACAGATAGAGAGGAAGAGGAAGAAAACACCCTCCAATGAGGCATGGTCTCCCCCATTTCTTCTCTTATTGGGATTTGAGGTATGCACGCACATACGCCCCATATGACATTCAGGCTGTAGGGGCCAAGATTTAAACCATGTGGTTGACCATGTGGGATCCAGCTTTCCTAACCACCAGGACAAGGGGCTAGACCAACAAAAAAGATAATTCATGAACACAGTCTAAGCTTGCAGAATTAACTAGCTTGAAAATTAGAATTAGAACATATGATTAGAAATGTTCTTGGGTTTATTTTGGTTTATCCAATAAAAAAAGAAAAAAAGAGATTATTCTCTCTAATGTGTCTTATTTATGTCAGTTTAGTCCTCTCTTAAAATGATGAGTTCTCAGTCATTGTTAAATTATTCTAAAATACTTGTATTGGTGAATATGTGTATTCAATAACTTTCTTTCCCTTCTAGGTCAAATGACTGATTTGATTCATACTGAGAAAGATCTGGTGACTTCTCTGAAAGACTATATTAAGGCAGAAGAGGACAAGTTAGAACAAATTAAAAAGTAAGCAGGTTTTGCTTATTGTGACTAATTCCACTTGGATGTTTTATTTCTCAGGCTATTAATCTTTAAGTATAAATGACAGCCATCCATCAGACTTAAAAGGGAGTTGAAATGGTTAAAATAGGAGAAAACAAGAGTTAGGTCTAGGTCAAGGTTTTCATGGAAGAACATGGATTGAAATAAGAATAGTTGGATATGAGGAGTTGACTAAAAAGCTTTAAAAGTGGTGTTAGTATCTTCTATACTTCTCTAACTTTTCCAGTCAAGCCAACGACTAGAGCAATTTTCAGTTCTATTTGTTCTTAATACTTATGGTTCCCTCGTAGAGATTATAGTAATAAGTATGATTAGTATTATTTAATTGATACTGTTTTTCTAAAATACTCATTTATTTTAAATTTCCTCTAGTTCATAGTTAATCTTTTTTTAAAAAGAATTATTTTATTTAACTTTATTTTAATTTGACCAGAGAGGGGCAGAGTGAGTGAGAGTGAGTGAGAAAGCAAGCCGCCAGGTCCAGGACTTGAACCATGGTCAGCCATGTGGGAGTCAAGCGCCCCTAACCGCCATGCCACCTGCTGGCTTCTAGTTCATAGTTAATCTTTACTTAAGAATTTCTGCCTTTTGTTTGAGTAGCTAAATATTTGAAAATATAGCTTCTAGAGTTTTCCTGAGTGGAAAAATTGGTCTAAGTTGATATAAATGAACATGTAACTGATTTTGGATTGGGTTAATTTACAAATTAGTAATAATTATTTGTTTTTAAGAACCTGTGGGGAAATGAATTTTTAAACTCCTACTAGAGTGATCCAGTCATGACTTTTACTAAGATGGGAAGGTTCCATTTACTGTCTATTTGGGAAAAATAGAACTAAAATTGAAAGTCATTTAGTTGTATTTTGATTTTTCCAAGTTAGCTTTTATTCATAAGAGGATCTTGATTTTTAAAGAGCTTTTCTAATTTTACTTTATTATTATTTTATTTCATTTTTTGCTATAGGTGCATGTGCTTACTAGAGAGAGAGGAAGAAGGGAAGAGAGAGAGAGAGAGAGAAGGAAAGAGAGAATTCATTCCCCAGGGGGGGTGATCATGCTGTAGTCCCTTCTTTATTCTCCTCTCCAGATTTTGGATACGCATGCACCACAGTGGTTTACAAGCTGCTGGGTCTGGGACTTGAACCATGCTGCTGACCATATGGGATCTAGCCACCCCAAGATCTCTGCCATCTGCTGGTGCTCTTTATTTTACTTTAGAAATAAGTTTTAGATATGATTTTAATTTAAAAAAACTAATAATCTATTCCTTTTTTTTCCCCAAGTGCTTTACCAGATTGTGATTTTCCTTGTAAGTATATATATAATCCTTCTTTATATCTTATATCTATAGATGGGCAGAAAAGTTAGATCGACTAACCAGCACAGCAACAAAAGATCCAGAAGGATTTGTTGGGCATCCTGTAAATGCATTCAAGTTAATGAAACGTTTGAATACTGAGTGGAGTGAGTTGGAGAATCTGGTCCTGAAGGATATGTCAGATGGTAAGTCTGAGAAGACTAATGAAACAAAATAAAAGTAAGGCAATACTGCCAAAATTAGGGATAAATTCAGTTCCTAGAATGTCAAGTATTCAATGTTGTAACTGATTTACTGCTTGAGTGCCTTTGGTTAGTTGAGATTCTAAATTCTTTTTTAAAAAAATTTTCCAGACAGTGTGAATGGTTGTGAGCAGTGTGTGTATGGGGGGAAAGCACTTCCCGGTAGGGTGTGGTCATTGCACAGTCCTCCTCCATTTGTTCATCCTGCAGGGATTTTGGACATGCACACTCAATATGTTTGGAATGTTTTTTTAGGCTGACAGGGCCAAGATTCAGACCATGTTGTGGTCGACCATGTAAGATCTTACTCCCCTAACTACCAAGCCACAGGGCCTTTTTCTTTCTTTCTTTCTTTCTTCTTTTTTTTTTTTTTTTTTGAGAGGTTTTCGCTATAGGGCACGTGCGCTCGCCAGACAGACAGAGAGAGACATAGAGACAGAAAGCGAGAAATTACCCACCAGGGGGGATGGTCACGCTGTAATCTCTTCTCCTCCATTCTCCCATTCTCCTCTCGGGATCTTGGGCACGCACACACATGCGCCCGGAGTGAGTTCTAAGCCACCGGGTCCGGGATGCGAACCGCAGTCGACTACGTGGGAATCCAGTGACATAGCCATTATGCTAACTGCTGGTTCCCTCTTTCTTCCTTTTTTTTTTTTTTTTTTTTTAAAGTTGCTTATGTACTCACCAGAGAGAAAGTGAGAGAGCACCCCAAGAAGGAATGACCACTGTAGTCACTTCTCCTTCACCCTTTTTTTGGGCATACACACACACATGCCTGTTGAGTTTTTGTTTTCTTTTTAAAGAATTATTTTATTTAACTTTATTTATGTATTTATTTATTTTAATTTAACCAGAGAGGGACATAGTAAGAGAGAGAGGGAAAGCAAGAAAGCAAGCTGTTAGGTCTGGGACTTGAACTGTGGTCAACCATGTACGAGTCCAGCACCCTTAACCAAATGCCACCAGCCAGCCCCACCTGTTGTGTTTTTCAATCTATTGGGTCTGTGACTCAAACGGCAGTTGGTCATGTGAGGTCCAGCCACCTTAACCACCATACCACCTGATTGGTCTGAATTCTTTGATTAAAAATATTTCTGATATTGGGACCAGCAGTTAGTGTGTATGTGTGTGTGTGTGTGTGTGTGTGTATGTGTGTTTCCCCCATTTTGTATTTTTTTCTCCCTCCCTCCTTTTTATTAGAGAAGATTTAAGCAACATCTTGGATCTTGGTGTTGGACATAAGAAACATTATAGTCTTCTATAAAAGTTGTTTGTAAAATTCTATGTGAAAAGATTGTGACTGAGAGTAGGTCTTCAAAGTAAAAAGAAAATATGCTATATGAATACTTTACCCTCTTTTAGCTAGTTATTTATATATTTCCATTAACATAAAAATGCCTGGTATTTTGCTGATCAACACGTATAAGGTTGATTATAAGTTAATGAAAGGAAAGAGAAGAGTGATTTAAAATTTTTATTTGCCAATAATGACATGTTATTTAAATTTTAAACCACTTTCTTTTTCTCCCCCCCCCCTTTTTTTTCCTTGGGGTGTTTCTAGTTTGCAGCCATTCTCCTTAGGGGTTACATAGTTGTAATTGGTTTGTTAGTTGACTTTTGCTATATTTTATATAAATCCTTTTAGAATTTAGATTAGGTTGTATATATATAGTGAATTATGACTGTTGAACACTATTCAATAATTAAATAGATATAAATATATTTAATAAACCACCTTGGCCATTGATCTTTAATATGTAAATACTATCTATTTGTTCCCTGTTAAGAATTCCACCAAATTTTGGGAATTTGCATATTTATATAATATATGCTACATGGAAGAAGAAAACAAATAATTTTTATTTAAAAAAAATTTTTAGAGAGATTTTTTGCTATAAGGTATGTGTGCTTACCAGAGAGATAGAGAGAGACAGAGAAATCACCCTCCAGGGGGGATGGCCATGCCACAATCCCTTTTCCTTCATTCTCTTCTTCGGATTTTGGGTATGCACATACACGTGCCCAGTGTGAGTTTTTTAAGTCACTGGGTCTGGGACTCGAACCATGGTCGACTACGTGTGAGTTCAGTGACATAACCATTACACCATCTACTGGTTTCGAAAACCTTTTAAGAGCTTAGACTTACCATTTCTTCTCTGAAATAAACCAGTATAACTGATTGCCAGTGAATGCCATTAACACACCCATAAATTTGTTTATTTCTCAAACTTAGAGGAACACTTCATTTTCTGGTTATGTTGTGTAACTAAAAACTCAGTTGTTAAATTAGTTGATCTTTACCTACTAATATAGATATCATTTATGCAGTGACCTCAGATTATTTAAACGACATTAGAAAGGGTTTGAAAAAACTGAGCAAGTTTTTTTTTTTTTTTTTTTTTAAAGCGAGATCTTTGCTATAAGGCATACATGCTTGCTGGATAGATAGAAAGTGAGAAATTACCCCACCCCCCAGGGTTAATGGTCACACCACAATCCCTTCTCTTCCATCCTCCTCTCAGGACTTTGGGCATGTTTGCATATTCACCTGGCATGAATTTCAAGCCTCCAGGTCCAGGACTCAAACCGTGGTTGGCCATGTGGGAGTCCAGAGGTGTAACTATTACACCATCTGCTGGTCCCAAGACGGAACAAGTTAAGGGTGTGCCAAACCTCAATGTATTTGATTTTTTCTTGTGGTTCAGGTGGAAATTTGTATGGTAGAAACTGATGTAATGATGGTAAAATAGATGTGGAGAAATCCTAATAAAGACTCTTTTGGAAATCTGTGAGGTTCTACAGTCTTTTTCTTTTTCTTTTTTCCCCCCGTTTCAAGGCTTTATTTCTAACCTAACCATTCAGAGACAGTACTTCCCTAATGATGAAGATCAGGTTGGAGCAGCCAAGGCTCTGTTGCGTCTCCAGGACACCTACAATTTGGATACAGATACCATCTCAAAGGGGGATCTTCCAGGTAAGGTAATTCTTTCAGTCTATAAAATACCATCTGGCTTCCCTGTCATCAGGGCAATATTAAGGTAAAAGACGGGCATGGTGGCGCCTGCCCTGTGGCAAAAACCTGTGGAGGCTGGAGGATTGCGGCGTCGGGACCAGCAGTTTGCGTAATGGCTATGTCGCTGGACTCCCACGTAGTTGACGTGGTTCAAGTCCCGGACTCGGTGGCTTAAACTCACGCCAGGCGCATGTGCGTGTGTGCCCAAGATCCCAAGAGGAGAATGGAGGAGAAGGAATTGAGGTGTGACCAACCCCCCCGGGGGGTGATTTCTCACTTTCTATCTCTCTGTCTCTTTCTGTCTGTCTGGCGAACACACGCACCCTATAGCAAAAACCTCTCCAAAAAAAAGGTAAAAGAAACTTGTATCTGATTTTTAAACTAGCATATATCTTGTTTCATAGCAAAACATGAATATGTCTTTTGGAGACAAAAGAACCTTTCCTTTCTCTATGACTCAATAGTTGTGGATATGCTTCTAAAGCTTGTTATTATGAAAGCTTATGTTTATAGGAACTAACATAAGTAGATAATTTTAGTATGAAAAAGAAACTGTTCTTCTGAATTTTTTTTAGTTACTTGATACTTACTAGAATGCTTTGTATCTAAAGCTATAAGGGAACTGATAATCAAAGTTTATATGGTAAAATTAAAAGCCAAGATGTGTTAGATATACACAAATGTTTAAACTGTTTCATTGTGTGGATCATCTTACTTCCTTTTTTTTTTTTCAGTTATAGCTGATTTCATGATAATTTACTTCTGCCATCTCTTTTTCTGAGTATGTGGCTCACTACCATTACTATTTCCTGCCACTAGTTTGCCTTTATCTTCATGGTAAAATTGGTTTTCTCTGAAAAAAGTGTGTATGAATTATTTATAAAGATGGTTTTTGGAGGGACCAGCAGTTAGCGTAATGGCTATGTCGCTGGACTCCCACGTAGTCGACCGTGGTTCGAGTCCCAGACCCAGTGGCTTAAACTCAGGCCGGGCGCGTGTGCATGCGTGCCCAAGATCCCGAGAGGAGAATGGAGGAGAAGGGATTGCGGCGTGGCCATTCCCCCTGGGGGGTGATTTCTCACTTTCTGTCTCTCTGTCTCTCTCTGTCTGGTGAGCGCACGTGCCCTATAGCAAAAACCTCTTCAAAAAAAGGGAAAAAAAAAAAAAAAGGTTTTTGGGCCAGAAAGTGGCATGGTGGTTAAGGTGCTAGACTCCCACATGACTGACTGTGGTTCAAGTCCTGACATGGTGGTTTGCTTTCTCACTTTCCCTCTCTCTTGCTTGCTCTTTCACTCAAGAAAAAAAATCCAATAATTTAAAAACTCTTTAAAAAAGACAAATTTTTAATTTGTCTTTTTTTCTTTTTTTGGAGAAGTTTTTGCTATAGGGCGCGTGTGCTCGCCAGAAGGAGAGAGAGACAGAGAGACAGAAAGTGAGAAATCAACCCCCCCCACCGCTGTGTGTGGGGGGAAGGCCACGCCACAATCCCTTCTCCTCCATTCTCCTCTCGGGATCTTGGACACGGATGCACACGTGCCTGGTGTGGGTTTAAGCCACCAAGTCCGGGACTCGAACCGCGGTAGACTACATGGGAGTCCAGCAACATAGCCATTATGCTAACTGCTGGTCCCCAAATTTTTAATTCATTTATTCATTCATTTATTTTAATTTGACCAGAGATAGACACACAGAGAGAAGGAAAAAAAGTGGGACAGCAAGTCACCAGGTCTGGACTTGAATCATAGTTGACCATGTAGGAGTGTCCAGCACCTTAACCACCATGCCACCTGCTGGTCCCTAACATTAAATAATAATAATAATAATTATTATTATTATTATTATTTTTTTGGAGAGATTTTCACTGTAGGGCGCGTGCGCTCGGCCCGGTGTGAGTTTTAAGCCACCGGGTCCGGGACACGAACCGCGGTCGACTACGTGGGAGTCCAGCGACATAGCCATTACGCTAACTGCTGGTTCCCAATAATTATTATTTTTAAAAAGAGATGCTTTTTGTGGGACCAGCATATAGCATAATAATTACATCGCTGGACTCCATGTAGTTGACTGCTGTTCAAGTCCCAGATTGGGTGGTTTAAAACTCATGCTGGGCATGTGTGCCTGTATGCTAAAAATCCTGAGAGGAGAATGGAGAAAGGGATTACAGCATGGCCATGCCCCCTGGTGGGTGATTTATTGCTTTCTGTCTGTCTCTCTGGTGAGGCATTTTTGCACATGCCCTATAGCAAAAATCTCTTAAAAAAAAAAGTGGGGCCAGCAGGTGTGGTGATTAAGGATGCTGGACTCCCACATGGCCAACCATGGTTCAAGTCCTGGATTTGGTGGCTTGCTTTCTCACTTTCCCTTTTTCTCTCTCTCTCACTGCATCCCTCTCTGGTCAAATTAAAATAGAGAAAGAAAGAAAAATAAAATCTTTTTAAAAAATAAAAGATGTTTTCTTATTCATTTCCCTTCACGGAGGATTGTATTAGTATATTATTGCATTGCTAACAGAAATACCTGATACTGGATGATTTGTAAATAAAATAGAAGCTTATTTGCCAAAACTCACAATTCTGGTGGTTAGAAAGTCCAGAGACATTCCAAAATGGCAGAAGCAGAATTTTGAAGAGCGCATAGCATGCTCTATGTCCATGTAGCTTCTACTTGCATCATTTCCTCTCCTTATATACACACTAGAACTCAATCATGGGGGCCCTACCCTAATGCTTTATCATACCCAAAGGCTCCACCCTGGGATACTATGTAGGGATTAAGTTTTCACTTAACACCTTTATAATGCAACCATTTCCTGGGGCCAGCAAGTGGTGTAGTGGTTTAAGGGCTCTGGACTCCCACATGGCCAACCACGGTTCAAGTCCTGGTCCTGGTGTCTTGCTTTCTCACTTTCCATCTTTTTCTCTCTTATTCTGTACCTCCCTGGTCAAATTAAAATAGATAAGTAAAATTTAAAAAAATATTTTAAAATATAAAAATAATATAACCATTTCCCAGCACATGAATTTTGAGGTGATATCAAACTATAGCAAGGATAAAGGTATTAAGTGGTGAAACTAAACATGGTATATTATGTAAAATTTCCGTTAAGTTAGAATACAGATCTGATATGTCCTACTCTGTGTATTTTTTTTTTTTTAGAGGTTTTTGTCTCAGGGTGTGTGTACTTGTCAGAGGGAAAGTGAGAAATCACCCCCTGGGGGATAGCCTTCTCCATTCTCCTCTTGGGGTTTTAGGCATACAAACACATATACCGGGTATGAGTTTCAAGTTGCTGGGTCCAGAATTCGAATTGCAGTCAGCCATGTGTGAGTCCAGTGCCATAGCTACTATGTCACCTGCTGGCTCCTGCAGTTCCTTTTCTGTCTCTACCTCCTTTCAGGATTTTGAGCACACATGTACACTTATTCATCATGTTTCTCAAACTCCCAACTTGGGATTTAAACCACATAATTGGCCACGTGAGATCCAGTTGCTTTAAACACCATGCCACAAGCTACTGCAACACTTTATTAGAAAATAGGATTTGTGAACCGAGCAAGTGGCATAGTGTTTAGGGTGTTGAACTCCCACATTGGCAACCATGGTTCGAGTCCTGGACCTGATGGCCTGAAAATCATGCCAAGTGCATGTGCATGCTTGCCCAAAAATTCCAGGAGAAGGGATTGAGGCATGGCCGTCCTGCCAGGGGTGATTTCTCACCCTCTCACTGTCTCCTGTAAGTGCACACACTCTATGGCAAAAACCTAAAAAAAATAAAAAAATTGGATTCCATTCTCAAAATATCTTATTATGTATTTGTAAATATTGCTAAATTTGAAAATATTAGAAATCCAAAATACTCTGGTCCTAAGCATTTTGGTTAAGGGATACTCAGCCTGTACTAGTTTTTTAAAAAAGAAACCAGTTGACATGTTTGCCTTTCTTTCTGTATATTAATTTCTTACACTGATGGTTGTAAGGTAGATAAATCTTATATTGTGATTCATGTTATGTTAGAAAATAGCATATTTCAACTTAATTGCATGTTTCATTTGGGTATGAGGGTTGACAGTTTGCTTCTTTGGTTCTCTGGGCCTAACGTCCCCTAATACTAGCTGAGTGATTCTCATGGTAGTTTGTTCTTATGTTTGTAAGATTAGGATAATTTGTAGTTTGTTCTTATGTTTGTAAGATTAGGATAATTTTTGCTTTTTCTGTCTCAAAGTATTATTGTGAAGTTTAAACGAAAGTGAGATAGCACTTTGAAAACTATGTAGTCCTAAATAAACATAGGCACTATTTGGATTCCTAAAGTTGTTTGTGTTTTCTTTTTATAGGAGTAAAACACAAATCTTTTCTAACAGCTGATGACTGCTTTGAGTTGGGCAAAGTGGCCTATACAGAAGCAGATTATTACCATACAGAACTCTGGATGGAACAAGCACTAAGGCAACTGGATGAAGGCGAGGTTTCTACCATAGATAAAGTCTCTGTTCTGGATTATTTGAGCTATGCCGTGTACCAGCAGGGAGATCTGGATAAGGCACTTTTGCTCACAAAGAAGCTTCTTGAGCTAGGTATGTTATATGGGCTTAATTTAAGATTATTGTTACATTAAGGGGTATATATTATCCTCTGTCTACCTAATTATCCATCCATATGCCTGTGGTACTTATTTGTTAGAAGTCAAGAGCCCTTTCTGTCAAACATACTTTATCCTTTCCCTGTTGATCTCAAAGTAAATGTCAACTGACTTTTCTTTTCTTTTTTTTTAAAGGATTATTTTATTTAACTTTATTTATTTGTTCCAAGTTGAACAGAGAGAGATAGTGAGAGTGAGAAAGCAAGCTGCCAGGTCCAGGACTTGAACCACTATCGGCCATGTGGGAGTCCAGTGCCCTCAACCTCCATGCCACCTGCTGGCCCCATGGCAACTGACTTTTCTCACCTAACAGTACTACAACAATGGCTGTTTCTCTGTCCTGTATTCTCCATGAATTTCAAAATTGGACCTGACTTAGCTAAGGCACTTAAAAATGCCATCATGTTGCCATATTTAATGTTACCCAGTTCCCTTTGAAGGGTATTTGGGCTTATAGTATTTTATATTAAATAATAAAATGATTTTAAATAAAGTGGATTGAAAATATATTTGATCATCATGTTCCAGTGTTAGAAAAATAAGATGTAAGAGTGTTACCACTAGTACTTTGAACAAAGATACAGTATTTCTCCAAGTATGATCCAAAAACCATGAATTATTTGGATATTCATTTAAAAATGAGCATTTTTGGGGGCCACAGGTGGCATCAGGGTTAAGGGCACTAGACTCCCACATGGCCAACCATGTTTCAAGTCCCGAACCTGGCTGCTTGCTTTCTCACTTTCTTGCTTTCTCCCTCCTCTCCCCCATGGTCCAATTAAAATAAATAAATAAAGATAATTAAAATCTTTAAAAATATGAGCATTATGGGGCTGGTAGGTGACATGGTGGTTGGGGGTGTTGGACTCTCACATGGCTGACCGCAGTTCGAGTCCTGGACTTGGCAGCTTGCTTTCTCGCATTATGTCTCTTCTCTCTCTGTCCCTCTGTGGTCAAATTAAATGAAGTTAAATAAAATAATTCTTTTAAAAAAGAGCATTTCTTGATCTCTACTTTAAACAAACTAAATCATAATTTCTAAAGATGGAGTCTGGATTTTTTTTGTTGATGTTGTTACTCCCAGAGGGTGCATACACTCACCAGAAAGAGAGGGGCAGATGGTGGGGAGAAGCCCCCCGACCCCAATGGGACATGATCACACTGTAATCCCGTCTTCATTTCTCAGTTCTGTTGATTTTTTGGGCAGATGTGTACACATACCAAGTGTATTTTTTAAGCCACTTCAGAATTTTTTTTTAAGAAATTTTTGCCTTTGGGCACATGTGGTCGCTGAAGAGAGAGACAGATAGTGAGAGGGAAAGTGAGAAATCACCCTCCACCCCACCCCCTAGTGATATGGCCACACTACAGTCCTTGCTGTTCCATTCTCCTCTCAGGGTCTTGGGCACACACATGCACATACATGCACGCAGCATGATTTTCAAGCCACCGGGTCCAGGACTTCAATCACAGCCATGTGGGAGTCCAGGGACCTAACTGCTATGCCATCTTTTTGTCCCAGGTGTCCAGAATTTTATATGATAAATTCAGGCAGCCTTTGGTAAATTATAGAACTTTAAAATAAAAAAAAAAGTTTTATTAATAGGAAAATGTGTGTATGTTAGAAAGGTCAAACAGCTCAAACGGATCAATCTTCTGAAAATGAACTTTTGATAATCGTGTTATATTTCTTAACTGGGCGAATGAATAAATCAAGATATTAATTCAAATAACCTTTCTTTCTTTTATTATTTTCCAATATTTGTTCTCCTAATTGAAAACATACTTTGTATTCACTGTAGGAAACTTACTGCCAGCAGGTGGCATGGTGTTAAGGGTGCTGGACTCCCATATGGCGACTGAGGTTTGAGTCCTGGACCTGGCAGCTTGTTTTTTCACTTTCTCTCTCACTCTCTCTGTCCCTCTCTGGTAAATTAAAATAAATAAAGTTAAATAAAATAATTATTTTTTAAAAAGAAAAATTGTTAAAACAGAAAAAGGTATGGAAGAATCACCTATAAGCCAGTCCCCCAAAATACCCACAAGTATTTGTTTTCTTGCAATATACATTCTCCTTAATTCCCCACACTTTTCTCCTTATTTTTAAAAGTAAGTTTTTTTTTTATTTCCTCCACGAGAAAGAGAGAGAAAGAGACACCCTCAACAGGGTTTTTTACACTGTGATGTGTCCTCAGCTTCAGCCCATACATAGTGGTATGTACAGGGAGGTCTTGGGACACTAATCTGGGACCTTCTCATATGGGTCTAGCACTGCAGAAGTAGCATTACTGTTGTAATACCAACTGGCCCTTACCTTTTCTTTTACATAATTAGGCTTATATACCATAACACACCTTATGAGCAGTTTCTGAACAAGAAATACTTTATAGTGTAAGGCTAGATTTCCCAAACATTTTACTTAATGCCACAAGTCAAATGTCTGTTTTTCTGCCTTTTTTTTTTTAAGTTTTTTTTTTTTTTTTTTTTTTTCCATAGTGTGTGTGCCCCACAGAGAGCGGGCAAGTAGAAATCACCCCCCTGCAGGAGGGATGGTCACACTGCAGTTCCTTCTCTTCCATTCTTCTCTTGGGATTTTGGGCATGCATATACATCCTACCCAGTATGATTTTCAAGCCACCAGGTCCAGGGCTCGAACTGCAGTCAACTATGTGGGAGTCATGCACCTTAATACCAGGCCACCTGCTGACCCCAATTGCCTTTTTTTTAAAAAAAATAAAAAGTGTGTGCATATAAGAGTGAGTGTGCAGGAGGGAGGGAGAAAGAGATTGTTTTTAGAGACAGGACCTTGCTGTATTGTTTAGTCTGGTCTTAAACTCGTACTACTCCTGCTTCAACCTCTCCAGGAATTTGGATTAGAGGCACATGCCACCACATCTATCAAGATAGGTTTTTTGAGAGAGTCTTGCCACATTGAGATCTTTCCTGTCTTAGATGTCTTTGTTAGTTAGGACCCCAGGCATGTACCGCTGCACCCAGCCTGTTAAAGTTGATCTGGGAACTAAGTCCAGGCCTTCCACGGTCCTCAGCCATTGTTTAGTAGTATTTTTCTGCCTGTGCTGCCATGGCTGGCCCTGTTCAGGCTTTTTTATTTGCATGTGTTTGTGTAAGGTTGCTCAGATACATTTTTCTTCTCTCGAATGGGCACCCTTGTGTTTTTCCCCTACTGAAAGGTAGCTAAAAATTATGACTAGCAATTCTGAGGCAGTTAGTGGATTCTGGCTTATTTGAAAATTATATATTTAGTTTCCCTTTTCTTTAGAAATTTGAGATTGAAATCCACTTTGCCTTCAGGAGTAAGCTATGTTCTGCCTTTATAATCTATTCGTGGTAAAGTTTGCTTTTGATCTATATATGCCCTGTCTTCCCCATGGTGACTACTTTAAAGTCTCAGAAAAAAAATTTTCCCACTGCTTAAAATAAATAGAATGAATAAGATTTTAAAATTTAATTTGTGTGCTCAGCCATGGTGGCACATTCTGCTAAGATGCTGATATTCAGAGGCCAAGGCCACATGAGAGACCCAGGCTGGGTGCAGTGGCATGTGCTTATATTTGTAGCTAGCTTAGGAGGCTAGGCTGGAACATTTTGACAGGAAAAGACCCTGGGAAGAACAGTCTCTCTCTCTCTCTTATTCATAAGTAAGTAAATTCATAAACTTTATAAAAATTTTATTTGACATAAAATTAAACACAATTCTTTTGGTTGACTAGTAAGTTCTAAAAGTAGAAGCAAGACTTGCTACTTAAAAAAAAAATAGCTGCTTTTCATCTCCAGAACTGTTTTTATGTAGGGTGATTATATGTCCTGTTTTACTTGGGGTAGTATAAGGTTACAGCTATTGTTTTGGTATAATAGTTTTGTTTTTGTTTTTTTTTAAAGAGAGATTTTTGCTATAGGGTGCATACACTCTCTGGAGAGATAGAGACAGAGAGACAGAAAGCTGGAAATCACCCCCAAGGCGGGAGGCCATACCACAATTATTTTTCCTCCATTTTCCTCTTGAGAGGAGTTTAAGCTGGCAGGTCCAGGACTTGAACTACAGTCGGCTACATGGGAGTTCAGTGATGTAACCATTATGCCATCTACTGGCTCCTGGTATAATAGTTTATTAGTGAATCCATTCTTTCAGAGCCAATGTGGTTTTGAAGATATGTTATATGACCCTCTGCTTTTATATTGATGTATTCTGATGCTTGAACGACTATAAACTTACCCATGGGCATGCTTTCTTTCTCTCCTAATAGATCCTGAACATCAGAGAGCTAATGGCAACTTAAAATATTTTGAATATATAATGGCTAAAGAAAAAGATACCAATAAATCTGCTTCAGATGACCAATCTGATCAGAAAACCACACCGAAGAAAAAAGGGGTTGCTGTGGATTACCTGCCAGAGAGACAGAAGTATGAAATGCTGTGCCGTGGGGAGGGTATCAAAATGGTAAAGTTGAAAAGCCAATTGTGTATTTATGAATGAATGTGTGTGTGTTTGTACATAGCTTTGGAGAGAATCATAGTTCTTTTACATTTAAGCCTAGATGATAAACATCAGAATGTCTATGTAATATATTGCAGTATGTCACATTATCTCACATTGGGAGTCATACTTAATATACTTCAGTTGTTAGTAAAACAGCTTTAAAATAAAGCTTGTGCAACATATACCACTATGTGCATTTGTGGTAATATCACCCTTTCAAGTCAAAAGATGCTTAGTTTCCAGGGTAGAGGATCAAATAAGTTTAAGGGAAGTGATACTTTTTCTTTTCTTTTCTTTTCTTTTCTTTTCTTTTTTTTTTTTTAAGAGATTATTGCTGGGCCGGCAAGTGGCGTGGTGGTTAAAGGCGCTGGACTCCCACATGGCCGACCACGGTTCAAGTCTCGGACCTGGTGGCTTGCTTTCTCACTACCTCTCTCTTTCTGTCTCTCTCTGATCAAACTGAAAAATAATAATGATATAATAATAAATAAAGTTAAATAAAAATAATTCTTAAAAAAAAAAAAGAGGTTATTGCTATCGGGCGCGTGCGCTTGCCAGACAGAGACAGAGAGACAGAAAGTGAGAAATCACCCCCCAGGGGAAATAGCCACACCGCAATCCCTTCTCCTCCATTCTCCTCTCGAGATCTTGGGCACGCACAAACACACATGCGCCCGGCATGAGTTTTAGCCACCAGGTCCAGGACTCGAACTGCGGTCGACTACATGGGAGTCCAGCGACATAGCCATTATGCTAACTGCTGGTCCCGGGAAGTGAAAATTTTTCTTATACTTAATGCAGGTGAGATTCCAGTATTCTTATGTAGAAACACACTATTTGAGCACATTTTATGAGAAATAACAAATTCATCTTACAATAATCTCTTGTGGTTTTGCTCCTAAGTCTTGATAAGATTGCTTAGTGGAATGTCTTAGTTTATTTAAGAAATACTCAATGCACAAAGACTTTTTAACAGATTTTGATTTTAATATTTATTATTTAAAAGATCCAAGTGATATCTATAAATATTCCATTATTTATTGTATATTTATGTTTTATGTATTTATAACTCAGAATGCCAGTTCTTCAGGATGTTAATAGGAATAACTTCAGGACCAGCAGATGGCATAATGGTCATGTTGACTCCCACATAGTTGACTGTAGTTCAAGTCTTGGACCTGGTAGCTTAAAACTCATACCTGGTGGGACCAGCAGTTAGCGTAATGGCTATGTCGTTGGACTCCCATGTGGTTGACTGCAGTTCGAGTCCCGGACCTGGTGGCTTAAACTCATGCCACTCATGGCCATCCCCCTTGGGGGATGATTTCCAACTTTATGTCTCTGTCTCTGCAGGGAGTGCACACACACTAAAAAAAAAATCCCGTTAAAAAAAAAAAAAAAAAAGCAAACAAACAAAAAAAAACAAGTAGGAATAACCCAAAGACAAAAGTTACATCTTTGGGGAACATTATTGAACAGTTGAGCGCAGGTTTCTGTTTAGCCTCTGATGTCTCAGAGTCTTTTTATGATAATGTGTGTTATGGGTAGGATGTCATCATTTCCCAATATTAATAGATCATGAAACTCTTTTTAAAGGAATATCATATGGTACTAGTGTTCAGGTGAAAGCAGGAATACTTAGAAGGAGTTAGTGAGTTTTTGTAATAAGTACTTTTAAGCATAAATATTTAAAAAGTGTTTACATTTTTCTTTATTCTTCTTTAAAGATTTATTTAATTTTATATATTATTATTTTAATTTGCTGTAGAACACATGCACTCACTATAGAAAGAGAGACAGAGGAGAAAACGAGAAAGCAAGCCACCAAATCTGGGACTCCAAGAGCTATTGGCCATGTGGTGGTCCAGCACCTCAACCACCATGCTACCCACTGGCACTGAAATGTTTTATGCTTTTCTTTGCAAATAACTCAAGCTGAGCTTTACATTTTAATATTGATGACTGTTAGGGATCAGCAGTTGGCATAATGGTTATGTCACTGGACTCCGATGTAGTCAACCACAATTCAAGTCCTGGACCTGGTGGCTTAAACTCACGCCGGGCATGTGTATGTGTGTGCCCAAGATCTTAGGAGGAGAATGGAGGAGAAGGGATTGTGGCATGGCCATCCCCCCAGCCCAGGGTTTTTCACTTTCCATCTTTCTGTCTGTCTCTGTCTGTCTGGTGAGCACACATGCCCTATAGCAAAAAATCTCTCCAAAAGAAAAAAATAGTCTCCTTTTAGGAGCTTCCTATTTTCACCCTCTATCTTGATAAAATTCCACTTATTTATTTATTTTGGCCACAAGTGTATAACTGAGATATTTTGGAAAGTCTGTTTTTCTTTTTCTTTTTTTTTTTTTAAGAATTATTTTATTTAACTTTACTTATTTATTTTAATTTGAAGCTAGAAAGACAGAGTGAGAGAGAAATGGGGAGGGGGAGAGAGAGTGAGAAAAAGTAAGAAAGCAAGCCACCAGGTCCAGGACTTGAACCGCAGTTGTCCATGTGGGAGTCCAGTGCCCTTAACCACCATGACACCTGCAAGCCCCTCTGGTTTTGTTTTGTTTTGTTTTGTTTTGTTTGCCACTTCCTTCTCAAGATGTTCTCTCTTTCTGAGTGCTTCCCTTTGTGAAGTTTGGAGCATTGCTGGGCATTCATTCCATGTTTCCATAAGCATTTCCTTATTTCTTTCATATTTATAACACCTGAAATTTATTTTGATGAGTGAAGGATTAAAGAGAAACCCTATGGTTTTTTCTTATTTAAGGCCTTCCAGCTCTCCCCAGAAAATAACCATTAAAAAAAATTTTTTTTAATCCTGATGGTCCTGTTTGATGTTAAATGGTTGCAGAATACTGCTTTTTTTCTGTATTCTAGAGATAATCTGTGTATGCAAGCATGACTACTTTTCTTATCTGCATAGTAATAAATATTAAATATATCTCTAATATAGTTAATAATTTTCTTAACTTTACATTTAGACTCCTCGGAGACAAAAAAAACTCTTTTGCCGTTACCACGATGGAAACCGGAATCCTAAATTTATCCTGGCTCCAGCCAAACAGGAGGATGAGTGGGATAAACCTCGTATTATTCGCTTCCATGATATTATTTCTGATGCAGAAATTGAAATTGTCAAAGATCTAGCAAAACCCAGGGTAAATAATTTTTGTCTATTCTCTTCAATTTACTATACCTGTGCATTAATCTTTCCTTTGTATAACAAAAAGGATAATGTATATGGCGGTAACTCCACAGGTAGTTTCAAATACTATTGTCTCAACAAAATGGAGTTATCAGTTTTGCTTTTTTTTTTTTTTATGCCAGAGGGCGCATGCATTAAGAGAAAGAGAAATAGCCCTCAGTGTGTCCTGTTCATAGTGTAGTCCTTTTTCTTCCAATTCTCCATCCTTTCAGAATTTTAGGTTCATGTGTGCACCTGGCATGTTTCTCAAGCCTGTAGACAGATTTTTATTCATATTTAACATTTATGTTTCACCTGAAAAACTTTTTTTATCTTGGAGTCTTTTACTCTCAGTGATTACTCAAAGCCAAACTTCTTCATACTTCCTGTATTCTTATCCAAAAGAATGCTTGAAATATTTTTACTCCCCATTAGGCCTATTATTACTAGAAAAATAAGGTTTCCTCAAAAAGTTTGTGGAAGATATGTACTATAAAAAAATTATGCATGGATCTAAAATTTTTTCCACTAAAATAAACTCATACTTTAATTCCATTTTCCACAAATTTTTTGAGACCTTTTCGTACAATTGGGCACAGACATATTATTGATTTGAAATGGTGACATCATTATTTTCTGATTTCACCCTAACATAATTTTTTTTTTTTTTTAGAAAAAGAATTATTTTATTTAACTTTATTTATTTTTAATTTGATCAGAGAGGGACAGTGTGAGAGAGAGAGCAAAAGTGAGAAAGCAATCCTTCAGGGCTGGGACTTGAACTGTGGTCAGCCATGTGAGAATCCAGCACCCTTAAACCACTATGCCACCTGCTGGCCCTCATAATTTATCTTTTTTTTTCTCTTTAAAGAGTTATTTTATTTTTTATATGATTTATTTATTTTAATTTGACCAAAGAGGTACAGAGAGAGAAAGAAAGTGGGAAAAAGTGAGAAAGCAAGCCACCAATTCTGGAACTTGAACTATGGTTGGCCATGTGGGAGTATAGTACCCTTAACCATCACACCACCTGCTGGCCCTCATAATTTATCTTAATAAGGAAAACAACCTAGAATAAAACAACACATACCACACACACACAGAGAAAAATAATCTGTTATAAACCCAGACTTACAAACTTAATATTTTAGCATAGATACTTCTTTTTTGTGAGAATGTGGGAGAATTAAGCTCTTGCTTTTTTCTATCATCTAGTTCTTAAAACATATTTTATCTTAATTATAAAATACAAATTGCCATAATTTTTCTAAAGAGATGTTAAATGAAAACTAGACATATTTTTGCTTTCTATAAAATTCAAGATAGTAAATACTTTTTAGGTTTTGTGGGTCATATGGTCTCTGTCACAGCTGCTTCAGCTGTATATTGTTATGCAAAAGCAGTGAAAGAAAATATGTAAATTAATTAGTATGGATATGTTTCAGTAACGTTTTGTTTCCAAAAACAGGCGGCGGGCTATCTTTGGTCTGTGGACTATAGTTTGTTCACTCTTGTTATTTCATAAAGGTCTGAATTTTCTAGATATCTGTACTGCCAAATAAATTTAGAGTTATTAAGATGTACTACTTTTCCAAATTGTTACTTTTTTTTTTTTTTAAGATAAGGTCTTGCTATATCACAGTCCTGCCTTTGCCTCCCAGATAGCTGGGACTGCAGGTGTACATCACAACACCCAGCGTTTATGGTAGAATTGGACTCAAACCCTGGCCTCTCATGTAGTCTCAGCCTGCTGAAGAGCAGTCTCTACTGTGTGTGTGCTACTGCAGCTGGGTCAAAACTTTGGTTCCTTTTTTTTTTCTTTTTCTTTTTTAAACCAATAGTTACATTATAAATGCCAAAGACTGGTCTAACATGTATGGGTACTGTCCAAGGGAATTCTTACAAATTTTTTGCCAAACAAAATGCCTCCTATAGTTACATCATGTTCTGACATTCTCTTTTAAATTGATATTTTACTCTTATTTGTGAGCAGTAAACCCAATAAACCAAAGTATCGTGGGAGAATATTCATTAAGAATTCATGTCAGCTTAGAGATCAAGTCCTATACCTCAGAATCTGAAGAAATCACGGTCTTCAAGGAGATTCCTCAGTTTAGATTGTTTTTGATCAATACATTCAGTAGCATTACAATTTTATTCTCTATTGTTAACCTCAAAATCATCCATCCTTTTTTATTTATTTATTTTTTTTTGTAAGTTTATACATTTCTTCAATGAGCAAGACAGACACCACTACGAGATCTGTACCCAAAACTACAGAGTACTCAGGGAGGTCTCTGGACATGAATTGGAAACTTTCCCATGTGTAATTACCTTGCAGAATGTTGCATTTTATCTTGGCTGTTATGTCATTCTTACTGTTTTTTAACTTTTATGAGTTCTCATCATCTCCCTTTGTGTTCAGTCCAACATTATTTTACTGTACATGTTACTGAGTGGATATCTTAAAGGAAAAATATATTGACCTTAAGATAAATTGTAAACAATATTAACCTTTGCAAATGGTTTCATCACTAAAAATAATTAAAAACAGGGACTTTGGAATAGATTAATAACTGCAAATAGCCACTAATAGCTAACAAATTAGACTAAACATTTTTTTTAATTTCTTTTTTTTTAAAAAAAATATTTATTTATTTCCATTTGTTATTTTTATATTTTCGACCAGACAGCAACAGAGAGAAAGTATAAGTGAGAAAGCAAGCTGCCAGGTCTGGGACTCGAACCACAGTTGGCCATGTGAGGATCCAGTTCCTCTAACCACCACGCCACCTACCGGCCTCTAAATTTATCTTTTTCTCCTTTATTCAAATCCTATAGCTATGGAAAGAAATTTAATTTTCAATCTCTTTTTGTGTACCCTCCATCCATGCAAAACAAAAGTGAATAAAATTTTTAAAGGTACAAAAACTTAAAAAAACAACTGCTTTTAATGCTTGACCTAAGGTGACTGGAAGCATATGGAGTTATTTTCTCCTCTCAGTCTCCTTTATAAAAATCTCAGAATTCTGAGTGGTTGGATAAATGTGATTCATTTTTTTGTCTTGTAATGCAACTATTTTGATGGTTGGCTTCACAGCTGAGGCGAGCCACCATTTCAAACCCAATAACAGGAGACTTGGAGACGGTACATTACAGAATTAGCAAAAGGTAAGAGACATGTGTGCTGCATATTTTGCCCTCTAATGAGTATTTTGTGCATCCTACAGGAATTATTATTATTCATTAAAGGAAAATAGGTCATTTTCAGTCTCCAGCTCAAGTATATAAACAGAATAACGCATGGGTAAACTGCTTGTGTTTCACAGATCTTTCCCTTCAACTAGAAGTTCTGTTTTTAATCTTTAATTCGTCTGTTATTTTTAGGGAATTAATGTGCTTTGTGTCTTTCTTCAGACCAGGTATCAGATATCTAAGAAATGGCCCAATACTTGTTTTCTTTTTCCCTTCCATTGCCAAGGAAGAAGTAAAGAAAAAGCAGCCTGGAGAATCTGGAAGCACTTGCTTATGCAGTTAGTTCTCTCGTATTCATAAATGCTATAGTGATTCACATCATCCTTCAAGGTGATTGTGTTGGCATTTGCTGATATGTCCTGAATATACTATTGTCATTATGGAGCAATCTATATTCCTCCTGGTGGCGTGGTGTTTTTATTTTTTTTTATTTAAAGAAAAAACGTGCTGACTCAAAAGTTGGCAAAGGAAGGAACAATTATACTTCTCAACTCAGTCTTCCAAAAAATTACTTGTGAACTTACTGCTTTTCCTTCTCCAGAAAAACTTAAAAACAGTTTTTATTTTGATAAGAGTTTTTAAAAAATGAATTTAAGGGGACTACTAGTTTTTTTCCCCAGAATATTTAAAGAACATTAAACTTCTAGATCTGAGAAAGCTCCTGTGAAACCGTGCTATAAATCATTTACATACAGCTTCAAATGATTTAAAAAAAAAAAAAGTGAAAGGACAATAAATCTACAGTAAATATATTTCAACTCATTTTCTCATGATTGGGAAGTGGCTATTTTTATTGCCACCCTTCTAAATGTTTTTTGCTGATTTGAAACCATTACCTACCATCCAGATCAATCTGAACCCTTCAATCACTTGTGGCTTGGCAAAACAAAACAAAAGTCCCAAATTGCCTGCTACTGGAGTAAGTCTGTCCTTTCTCTTTTTTTGTAGCTGAGCCGAGCTACAGTACATGACCCCGAGACTGGAAAATTGACCACAGCACAGTACAGAGTATCTAAGAGGTAAGGGAGTAATGTAGAGAACTTTAGTCATATTTGGACCATTTTCCTTCTCGAGAATCTGATTTTGCAGAATCCATGGTATGATATCTAAAACTTAGGCCATTAGGTGTAGATATCTGATAATCTCTATGGTTAAATTTTCATGATGGTCTAATAAACAGACTTGGTTATGGGGAAGTTAAAAGAGGTTTGTCAAAGTAATTTATTAGATTGTAAAATGTTTGATGAGGCTTTCCAAATCCTAGCTGATAAGTGAAGTTTTGTTCTCATATCACAGAAAAATTCTCAAAGACTCTTCATAGAACAAGGCTCAGTTTGGACTCTGTTATAAAGCAGGGGTTCAAAAATTTCTGGGTCATCCCATAGGTGTAGGTATTAAGAAAGTAAATGCTTTGAACAACCACGTAAGAAAAGTTTCGTAGATTAATCAGTTTCAAATTCCTTGCTTTTAACAGAGAATATAATTAGGCCGTTAGGTGATAGATTACTAAAATAACTTTTAAAAAAAGATCACTGTGTAGCTTAAGTATATAAAAGAAGGAGCTCGCAGAATTAAATAACCTTATTCCAACAGAATTTTTTTCTACTTATTTATATGTGATTTCTTAGTTCTCATAAAAAAATAGAAATGTCATTGTACTGAATTCTGTCTTATTCTAACAATAAGTTATATTTATCCATAGATATAGTAATTAAAAATAACAAACATAAGCTTCATCTGTGCAATTAGGAACATTTTAATATATTTTAACTTTTTATATTGATAATGATTGTTTAATTATGTTTAGATTAATATGTACTACTAATAACTGTGATAACTTGATCCAGAAGACCTTTATTTTACAGAAAACTTATACTTTTGTCAATTATATAATCATTTTTATTTTATTAGAATTATAGTAAGATGGTGAATAAAAGGCTTTCGGGCATAAAAATTTATCACCCAAGGACAGGGTTTCTCAGCTTCAACACTGTTAGACATTTTTTTTTTTTGGAGAGGTTTTTGCTATAGGGCGCGTGCGTTCACGAGAAATCACCCCCCCAGGGGGGATGGCCACGCCACAATCCCTTCTCCTCCATTCTCCTTTCGGGATCTTGGACACACATGCACACGCGCCCAGCGTGAGTTTAAGCCACCGGGTCCAGGACTCGAAACTCGGTCGACTACGTGGGAGTCCAGCGACATAGCCATTATGCTAACTGCTACTCCCAACACTGTTAGACATTTTGAATCTGATAACTCTGTTGTTGGTGACTGTCTTGAGTTTGTAGGATGCTTAGCAACATCTCTGGCACAGTAGTACCTTCCCTCCAGTTGTGACTATCAAAAATGTCTCCAGACATTGCTGAGTGTCCCCTGGTTGGCAGAATTCCTACCACCATCTCCAGGGACTCTACCCTTCTACTCTTATTGAGAACCATTGTCCTAGGATAAGAGTGGAATAAAAATATAAATTCAAAGGGGAAAAATGATGTAAACTCTTGAAGTATTAAAAAGTATTTTGTTCATGTATTCTTTTAAGTAAATACTGAATCTAAATAATTCTGATATTTAGATTGCATTAGATGCATTTGAAAAAGTTTTCCAGAAATTACCAAGATTTTTAGTATGACAATTAATTAGAAACTATTTAAGTTAATATGAAAATTTTTAGTTGTCAGCCAAAAAATACTGCAAAGGAGTACAGCGATTTCAACAAGTATTTTAGGAGGTACTAGATGATTACTGGTGTAAATCATAGCAACAGTACTGCAAAGGCCAGACAGAATGTGTTGATTCATTTCCTTACTGTTTTTTGGGCAAAGCTACATGTCTTTCATATATTAATCTTAAAGTGTGTTCTGGTTTCCTAAGTGTCCCTGCCCTATACTGCTGCCTATCCTCTTCCCCCAATAAGTACAGGGGAGAAAAGGCTTTTTTTTTTTCCCTACTCATTGCTAGGTTTGTGGTTAAGACCCTTTTAAGAAAAGACTAATTAACAAGAGAAGAGCATACAAATTTAGTTAATTCAAATTTTACATGACATGGGAATGAAGACCCTCCCCCCAAAAAGGGAAACCTGTATTTTTATGCTACATTTGATGAATAGTGATCAGTCATGCAGAAGTATAAAGAGACAAAGTGATCTAGTGATAATAAACTTGAGAAGACTCAGCAAAACCTGTTTGTTCACATATTACATCTGTGTGTCTTTGACCATAGGATATTGCTTTCTCCAGGTATAGGGAGGGTGCATCTGGAATGAAAGTCTTAGTAGCTACCTTAGAGGAAGGTCAGAGAATTCTTTTATGACCTTCTTCCGGGGAAGAGAGTGGGAGAAAGTAAAAGAGACCTTTCTGTTTCTGCTGTTTCCTCAAACGCCAAGGTTGCCATGTTTTGTAGTGGAGAATCCTGAACCCCATTAGAAAACGTGAAGAAAATTTAAATTTACCATAATATTATACTGATTTCAAACACTAATTGATTGTAAGGATGTGCTGAAATGAATTTGGATTTATATGTTTTGAGTCTTGATTTACAGAGCTTCATCACAGAACTAATTTTCCATTCTATTATCGACCTTATTCATGTTTACAAAAATGAACTCCTAAACTTACAAAGAAACCTTAAACTGTGTTAAAAGAAAATTAAACCAGCCAACTTAATAGAGTAGAGAATAGAGCAAATCTTAACATTTGTATTTTGAAAGGTTCAGGAGGGAATTTCAAATATCTGTACTTTGAGAAATTTCTAAGTAATTACATCATCTTTGGAAGTAAAATCTTGTTCCAGCATTCCAGCAAATACAATGTCTTTGTTGAAAAAGTTTTATTTACATAACTGACTATCTGTTAGCTTTTGACAAGTCACTTTTGTCTTTTCTAATATTAAAAATAAAACAAACCCCTAAAATTTTACTAAAGCTTTTTAATAGAAAATAATTTTGGCTAGATCAGAGAAATTGATTTTTAGTTTTGAGAGTTTTTTTTTTAAGTTCATTAACATTTTTCATCAGAGAGAAAGAAGAGAAAGAAGAACACCCATAGGTCATTACACCATGATCTACCTCTGTTCTCATCCAGCCTGGATCATGGACATACACATGCATACCCAGCATGCTCAGGGAGATGCCAGGATCAGAACCCAGGACTTTAGCCATGTGGGTTTAATTTTTTTTTTTTTTAACTGCCATAGTACTGTGTGGTCTTGGAGTTTTAATTTTTAGAAAGTAAACATTCAAGGGACTGGCAGGTGGTGTGGTAGTTGACTCCCACAAGCTGACCACAGTTCAAGTCCTGAAGCTTGAAAATCACGCTGGGCATGTTTTTGTGCATACCCAAAATCCTAAGAGGAGAATGGAGGAGAAGGGATTGTAGTGTGGCCATCCCTCCTGGGGAGTGATTTCTCACTTTCCATTTCTCTGCCCCTCTCTCTCTTCAGTGAGCACATGCACCCTATGGCAAAAACCTAAAAAAAAAAATTAAAATGAAAAAATAAACATTTGGCTGTGTGTCCTGAAAATAATTTAATTAGATAATCTCATAAAGTTCAGTAAAAGTAATACAATGATATATATATAAGTAATTGTTCAGAGTAGTATAAGGTTTCTTTCATTCTGGTAGATAATTCTTAGAAGTTTTCATTTTTAAAATTTTAACTTGAATCAGTGATTTCCTACCATATGGTATTTATGTTCGAGATTTAGATTATGAGGATCAGCAGATGGTGTGATAGTTATGTTGCTGGACTCCCACATAGTTGACCACGGTTCGAGTCTTGGACCTGGTGGCTTAAAACTCCCACCAAGTGAATGTGTGTGTGTGCAGGCCCAATATCTCAAGAGGAGAATAGAGAAGGGATTGCTATGTGGCTGCCCCCCGCCTCCCTGGGGCTGATTTTTTACTTTCTGTCACTCT